ACGGTAAGTAAGGTAACAGCGACAGAGAGAGGGGGACACCAGCAGGGTAACAAGCATCTAATGTGGACATAAGACCCTTTGGCTGGTTAGAAATGTAGCTTATGAGAGCATGCAGATGTATTCTTTCATTGTCTACATGCAGTAACAGTATTTAAGAAATGCAAGAAAAATCCGTTCGCTTTATTAAGTTAAACCACATGTGTAAAATCTGAGAATGTGAGATGAAAGTGAAGAATCAGAAATGTTTATTTTTTCCCAAATGTTCTGTTCGACAGAGGCTTGTTAAGGTTGGCATGAAACAGTTGGGCTGCAAACTGCGCTCTACCTGGGTTATCTACTACTATCACTCAGACACTTTCCACACAAACTCTCCTCTGCCACCCTGATGATATTCAGATGTGTCAGATCTCATCCTCTCTATGACTACTGTGTGGATGTGTGTGTGTGTGTGTGTGTGTCCTGTACGGCCATCAGGTTATTATACACCAACAGATGGGGCATTACCTTTTATTGCTCACACCTTCTGTGAATTTTTCCACTTTTTCCCCCGAATAAACACCTTTTTTATGTAGATGTGAAAGCGGGGTGTTCAGCCGCATGCAGCTGTCTCCACTCTGATAGAGAGGAAGAGGCGAGGGTGGGGGTGAAAAGGCTGAGACAGCCCTCAGTTTTTGGGAAGTGAAGTCAAATGACATCAGCACATAATGGTTTACTGTAACCATGAATCACAGCAAAAAAACACACCGCAGTGTGAGACAGAGGGGAAAAGAGAAAGCCGTTATGTGAGGTAACATCTCAAAAATAGTACTGCGGTGTACAGGGACACTTTGCTGTCTAGGTGTAGAGGTAAATGAGTCACCCAGCTGAGTTTTGTTTTGATCTTAGCTGAACCTTCAGGCTTTGGTGTCGTACAGGTTTTGCTGAGGCCACACTCAGCTCTGGAAGCTATTAACGGTATGTTGTTTGTATCCTTAGGGTACATGGTGTGCCGCGTCATGTAGCTTCACTTTTGTTTGCTGTGAAACTATGTAGCAGGCACTAAGGAGGTGGACAGACAGGAAGTTTTGGCATGCATTCCTGCCCAGCTGCAGACGTCTGTCATTCCTCAGTTCAACACTTGTGTGTGTGTATGTTTATTTAGAAGTGTGTGTGTGTCTCTGTGTGTATTTTTACTCATAGCAGGAAATGTGAGCAAGAACATCCAGGTGTTTTTTCTATATGCCTGTCATCACTTTATTTGCCCTTGTGTTTGATTGGATGCAAAATTGCAACTTATTATTAAGATGCCAGCTGCTAATTTGTCCTCAGCTCGTATATAAGATTTTTCACTCTAGAACCTTGAAAGGTATCGTTTCTTTCCTTTGTTGCACCAATGTGTAATTGTCACCCAAGTAGGAAGACATTTCATGGACATCCTTGGCAGATATAAACCTGTTTCCTCTTGTATCATATTTTCCCTCTTCCACCTGATTTACAGCAGTTTAATAAAATATGTTTCTTGTTTAAGTAGTCTGCCTTTGGCCAAAAACAAGGATAGTTTACATGTGGTTGATAGTTTACATCCTTCAAATGAGGAAACTGTGTTTGGTTTTTTATAATGTATTTAGTTACTGCAGGAAAATGATACTGTTCTATCTGAAAGAGTTAGCTCAGCTAGAGGATAAAAACTATTAAAATTAATCCACCAAGTCTGTTCTGATTGGTTAGACACATGTAAGTGATTGATAATGCTGTAAAAACACTACATACCCTTTTCATTTCTACTAGAGAAATACTTTCTGGGAACCAATTGATCACTCTTTTATTGTTTTGCATTAACCAGATCAAAAATTAAACAACCATGGTAGAAAACAGGTGTGGTAGAGATGTGCTCCTTTTTGAAACCGCCTTGAACTGAAGGTGGCGTTTCGAATTGGGTCCTAGATATATCTTTTTGGCTTTCTGGTTGAGGATCGAATATTTGGTTTTGTTTTCCTCTCCCTGTTGGCATGTCGCTACTTATATTTCAAAGATTTACAAACACAGAATTCAGTTGACCATAAAAGCAGAGTTCAAAACATGATTTAAAACTATTCATGTTAGATGGTTTGATGATTTGATAGCAGTTATAGCTGAACAGCTAAATGTTGCCCCTCTACTCTCTGAAAGTGTGAAATAGAAAGAGTTAAGCAATAGAGCATAACCGAAGATACATTACAGCAGAGATGGGAAGTAAAGAAGTACAAATACTTCATTACTGTACTCAAGTAGATTTTTCTGATATTTTTACTTTACTTTACTACTTATTTTTATGGCGACTTTTTACTTCTACTCCTTACATTTTCACACAAATATCTGTACTTTCTACTCCTTACATTTTAAAAAATTGGCTCGTTACTTTAGTTTTGAATCATTTCAATGGAGTTACCGTTATTATTTTTCACGTCATCAATACCAAATTCAATCTAATTGGATGGGAATCTACGTTGCATTTGACGCACCACTACAAGATGAATCGACAGATTCGGCGGTATTCATTGGCGGCAAATCATTGCAGCTTGGTGGCGGTGGTGTTAGCATAGTAGTATGGACGACGAGATGATTGAAAATGAACACAACGGAGATCTAGTCCTATTGGCAGACATCCATTTAAAATGTAGGCAACGGCATGAAAAAAGTGGTTTCTACTTTTACTTTTATACTTTAAGTAAATTTACAAGCCTGTACTTTGTTACTTTTACTTGAGTAAAGAAGTTTAATCAGTACTTCCACTTTTACCAGAGTATTTTTTAACACAAGTATCTGTCCTTTTACTCAAGTACGGAAAGTGAGTACTTTTGCCATCTCTGCATTACAGTGACTAAATTTGATCATTTATGTAGCAAGCTTTAAAGAAAGGTGCAAAGATTGCACATGGATTTTGCCAATAAAAGATTTTTTCCCTGCCTTTTTGTGAAGAAAGTAAGTAGAGCTGTTAGACTGAAACTTTACCATTTTGTCCCAATACAATCAGATCTACCTGCATTTGATGGTATGTTATGTGATGCAGGAGGCTGCTCAGCGGAGCGGTGCGTAGCACTGCTGCCTTACAGCAAGAAGGTTCTGGGTTTGATTCCCGGCCCGGAGTCATTCTGCATGGAGATTGCATGTTCTCCTTGTGCATGCAGGGGTTCTCTACGGGTACTCCGGCATCCTCCTACAGTCCAAAAACATGACTTTTAGGTTAATTGGCTTCTTTAAATTTTCCTTAGGTGTAACTGTGTGTGAATTGTTTGTTCTTTTTGTCTATGTGTCGCCAGTCCATTGCAGGGCAATGGACTGGCGACCTGTCCAGGGTGTACCCGGCCTCTCACCCGTTGACAGCTACAGATAGGCACCAGCACCCCTAGCGACCCCAGCAGGGATAAGCATGAAAGAAAATGGATCGGTGGATGTTGTGTGATGGATCGATAACTGTTACAGGAATATACAATGATGCATGTTTTCGTATTCTTTTTTAATTAAAACCTGAAAATGTGGCTCTCTTTTACTCGGATACCCCAAAATAAAAAACTATGGCCTTTAGAAGTAACATAATTAGAAGGCAGGGATCACTTATTCATTTTAGATGCAGCTGTTCTTTGCAGGCTGTAGTGATCTTTGTAGAAAGCCTAATGGAAGCTAGACCATCTTGAAAACCAAGAAGCTCCCCTACGCAGGCTTTGGTTATAAAACTATAGCTTAGGATTCAGACATTGCATTATTCTGTATTTGAAGAATATGAAAGAGCATGGCACATTTCTAAAACTACCAGGACTTGGACAACATCCAGGGTAGGCAGTTCCAGTTCCCGAGGACCAGTATGGCTGCATTACCTCCTCAGAATGTAGTTAATTTCTCTAGTGTCCTCTTAGTCATTTTATTACTGGATTCAGGTGTGTTGGACTAAGGATACATCTAAAGGTTGCAAGAAACTGTCCCTCAGGAAGTGGAATTTTCCAACCTTCATATAAAATGGGAAATGAGTATGAAGGAGCTGCAGAGGTTGACAGTTCAGATAGATTCTTTAGTCCACCATTAGACATAAAAAGACAAGAAAATATATGAAAGAAGAGGTGAGATAAAAATAGGTTTTGGTAAGAAAGCAAAAAGCTTTGAGTGACCAAAGAAACTACAATATGGAACACCCTGAACACACCACTCAAGGTGAAAACATGGTAGTGGCAGGATCTTTCAGAGAAAATGTTATTTTTTTCAGTAGGGAAAATTAAACCAGAACAGCTGATAGAAAGGGAAATGAACTAAATACATAGAAAAAGTAGAAGAAACCCTGTTGGAGGCTGCAAATGCCTGAAACTGTGGAAAGCCAGAGCTACACTGGAATTAGAGATGGACCAATTCATTGGCCGGCTGATGTTTTTGGCTGATATAGTTTTTTTTTTTTTTTTGCATCAGTATTCAACAGTCATGCCTTGAGATCACATGAAAGGCATGTATTGCTGCTCCCTTCATTTGCTCTCCATTCTCAATGTTCTGTTTGATTTGTTAACAAATGGTTATTTTTTGTTTCAATCAAAAAAATTGTTTTTATTAATCTCAAAGGAAATTAATATATATTGAAGTGTACCATTTTGTATTGTCATTTTCATGATGTAAATCAAGGGAAAATAAGCACAAACAGCTTCAAAAGACAGCCTCCAAAAAACAAAAAAAAACAAACAATAAGCAGCAAATATAGAATAACATATAAAATTCAGTATCTGCTGATCTCTATTTTTGAGTTTTTTGGTATATTCATTCTTAAGACAAATCCACCCTGAATATTTCAATCTTCTATTTGTGCAAATGCATAAAACCGTGTTCCTTTCACCTTAGAATCTTCCTCTAATTTGTGTTATTTAAAAAAAAAAAAAAAGCTGGAATTTAAGCCGGAATATACTGTAAATTTGACAAATTCTGCTCAAATGTCAAACAGTGAAGGGTACTTGTTTCCTAATGTGTCTTTTTTTTCTCTCTCTCTTTGGTATTTTTCCTTTTTTCAGTTCGGAAGCCATTCCAGTGCAGGTACTGCCCCTATAGTGCCTCCCAGAAAGGAAACCTGAAGACCCATGTCCTCTGTGTTCACCGCAAGCCCTTTGACAACAGCCTCTACCCAGACCGCCGCCTACGACGCTCGCACACACCCCAGACCTCCTCCAGATTCTCTCTTGGTGCAACAGGAGACAGTTCTGCTTCGGGCAGGGACCAGATCAGTGTGACGTCGCTGTGTGGGACTTGATGCTGCCATAGTAACTGAAGATACAGACAGATATAATAACTGTTTTAGCCTCACCTGAAAGGGTTAAGATGATTAAAGTTGTTATAAAAAAATGTTAACGACCAACCTTGATGTACATTCCAGTGTTTACTTGAAGAGCCACAGTACGTATTTATCTGTAGCAAAAGAAGCTGCCTATAATAATAAAGTTCATTGTGATGTGAAAGTGTAACAAATGTTCTTGGTGCCTTTTGTTTTATCAAAAGTCTCCACAGTTTTGATTGTGTTTATATGCATTTAAAAGTCCTACATTCGTCTGAAGCTAAGGGTGAGCCGCTGCGGCCCAAAACTCTTGTTCTTTCATCCAGTAAATACCCCACGTTGCATTTTTTGTAAATATCATTTGATTTCCCTTCCAGTCCACAAGTCTTGTCTATCTGTCAGGATGTGGTGCCAGATGTTCGGCCTTTAATCGCAGCAGATGTAATGAAGTAGAATGTTGCACATCGGAGCTTCCATTTGTTCTGGATTTCACTCCAGGGAGAAAGCCTCTCTCACATATAATTATTGCCCATTAACTCCTATGCTTCATGCCCTCATGCCGGAACAATGCTCAATTAAGGGGAACCAAGGAAATGGAAAAAGCTGCAGAGATTCATTGATAGTACATTCAAATCGTTTTTACTACTTTCTGTTCTTTTCTTTAAGTGGAACCACCCATGTGTGCCTAAACCTAATGTACTCGCTAGTACAGCACAGGGCTAATCAACACAGCTATTGTAAGCTGCTTCTGCCATGTATGGTAATTTTAGCGTGATGTGCGCTGCCACCGCTTACCGTGCCAGTAGCCTGCCTGAACACCCAAAGATCACCTTGGGCAGCTGTGTGCCTGCTCAGCCGGCCCCTTGTAGCCACCGCGATGTGACTTTGACTGACAGCCCGTCTGACAACTCCATTCATGCGCCACCTGCTAGCTGTCAATCATGGCGGCCATCCTGGGGCTATTGACGGAGCTGTCAGCCAGTGTGAGATGTGTCTGTCAAAGCCCACCCACTCTGCCACTCCGTCTCCCTGCCTGGGCAACCTGACGTTCGTTTACTGTCCTCCTTCCACCTCTCCTTCCTCTCCACCTCCATCTTTTTCTTCCTCTGGCAGTCTGTCTGTCTCCTGCCTGCTTCCCATCAGGGATACGACAGCCCCTTAATCCCTGATCCAATCACAGATTCTTTGGATACAGATTTGTCATCCTCAAAGCCTCTGGTTTTTGCAATAGAGTGCTTCACAAACACTTCAGCAGACCTGATATACATGTTTTTTTATGTCTGCCTACTGTTTCAGTCTGCTTTACCACCCCTATAATTTCTCTCCTCCTTTTTACCTTTCTCTCTCTACCATCCTCCTGTGCTCATTCACCCTTCATCTCTCACTCCGACAGTTGACAAGGTCTGAGCCTCCAGCTGACTGGAAAATCGGACGCCTGTCATAACTGTCAATACTGTTTTAGAGTCATGCCAAACTGGATAACACCAGAACATTTGATCTTCTTAGCTGACCAAGGTCACACCATTTTTTTTGAAAGATTAGAGAAAACTCTTAAAATTCTGCAACTCGTGCCCCTCCAACAGCCCTTTGGATATGGATCATCCCTGAAGCCTCATCCTGTCAAACCCCCTAATTAAGCTCAGTTTCCCTTAAAGCAAGGCCGCTTAATTAATGCTGGGGAACTTTGTTAATTACTCTTAATGGTGATGAATGCTTTAGTTAACGTCTCACTGCCACTATCAATGTCATATTCTGGCTTTTTGAACATTATAAGGGCCCATTTCTCTCGAATTCAACCAATTTCTTTCTGGTTAGGTTTTAATTTGAAGTCAAATTCTCATACTAGAATCAAAAGACAAAGCTCCCTAAAATGATTGGCATGTCCAGTCAAGATCTGTAAAAATCTTTAAGATACATTTTGTAAATGTAACCAATTTTAGTTTATAAAGATTTCTCTTAAACACATTAAACACATAAAAAAATCGTACTTTATATTTATGTTAGTGACAGTGATGTACAATTGAGCATCTGAGAAAGCATTCATTCCCAGATGTAATATTGATAATTGTGGTTAGAGTTATGCTGGTGAAGATTCTCAGTCATCCAGGTCATAGTCATTCCAAAAAAGTAAAAAAAAAAACAAAAAAAATCTGCTAGACTCTGTTTCCAAGTTTGAAGACGTTTTGCTTCTCATCCAGGAAGCACTTTCAATTCAAAATGTCAGAAATAGTTTTGAGTTCAAAGTTTTATAGAGTGGACCAAAAACAAAGCCTTGTTTTGGCTTAGAAAATCAGCAAATTTATTTTAGCAACTGGAAAACAAAACTGATCAAATGAATCTCTCAGAAGTTTCCCAATTCTTGTTTACATATCTAGTGAATGAGATTGGAGGTTTTCTAGTAGTAGTGTGTTTCTATAGATAATGGATAGCTGATATTTGTTTCTGAATAGAGGCTTGAAAATAAGCACTAAATTAAAAGATTTACTGTTATGTTTTGAAGGAGTGTTGACATTGCATTGCATCTTCACCCTTTTTAATTCAGATCTCATATTTTTTAGAGGGTCAACTAAAAGAGTAGTTATTATATTACAAAGTTTATTCAAAAACACAATTTGAATTGCATTAAACCTTCAGTGTAGTTGTGAAGAAAAAAAACTCAAACATTGTAATGCCTTCATGCCATCGGGTGGATTTAAAATAAAGATTGTAAACAGCCCCTTGTATAGACCATCCATCCCTCCTTGGTCCTCATTGGATAGTGGGCATCTTTTGTGTATCTGAGGTGGCAGAAAGAAGGGTTAAACTATGGGCCAGAACACAGAAGTATTAGGCTCAAAGGTTGAAAAAATAGCAGGAGGATGTTCTCGAATTGCTTGTTATTGGCTAAATCGGCCACTTATCAGCTCTTGTTCAATTAGTATTTTTGTCAGTTCCATGAAAAGTCCATAAGCAGGCTTCAGAGGGATGACTTGTCCTAGAAAGCTTGTTGTCATAGCAGGAAATGTCAGGTATTAAACAGCCAAAGCCCAGTGAAATGACCTACTTTGCTAAAAGTCTAGTTCTATAGATGAAGGCTGAATAAACAACAAAGATTCCTCTTTAAAAGTCTTCTAATAAATTTCTTTTATTGCCATCATTTTATTTTTGACTGATTTTAATCACCTCACTGAAATTTTAAAAATAATTAGATATGACTGGTTAAAAATATTAAATTTTTTAATTTCTGACCAGCTACCTAAAGATCAGGGTAAGTAATGCTAAACAAAACTACCACATATCTTGGTGCTTCTCTTATATAGATTTTGCTGTTGTAGCATAACTTTACATTGGCAAACTGAGAAGAATACAGCTTTATGTTTCAGTGTCACAACTTAGTGTAAGCTTCTGACGCACCAACAAAAAAATAAACTCAGAGAAGGACAGGAATCAGATCAGGTTTATTGAACACAATGAATATATGCAACGGAATCTGGTCCTGGCAGAACAGCGACAAGGGGGAACCGGAAGAGAGACAGGTGAGTTGGGAAATCCTGGCAACTGAATGGGAAGGTGTGGTCAGATGTATGTCAGAGAAGCATAGACCAGAATCAGTGGGGTTTGTTGGAACGATGAAGGTAAGTTCACAGAGGAACATTCACAGGGAAAACTGGAAGGCTGGAGATTACCTGCAGGAGTAGGAGATCAGGTGTGTCAAGTAACAAAGTACAAATGCGATCTATACTTTACTGGACTAATTATTTTTTTAGACAACTTTTTACTTCTGCTCCTTACATTTTGCTGCAATTATCTCTACTTTCTAGTCCTTACTTTTTTTAAAATAGACTAATTAGTCTTGTATAATTTAAGCTCATTGTCGTTATGGCCTGTTGGTATTAAATATCTAATAAAATCCATCAAAACACTTTGTTTCATCCATATAGTATAAGGTTTATGTATAAGAAATATATCTGCAAAATATCTCATATTCAACAACAAAAAATACTTAGTTAAGCATATTGTGCAAAATAGCAATAATTAAAAAAAAATCCTATCAGATTTATAGTCCACAAACTGCAGATATATTAGAATCTGTGCTTAAATTACAGTCAAACCCATTTACACAGTAACAGATAAAAACCTATAGATAAATCAAACATTACCCGCCACATATCTGACTCAGTAACCATTAATACAACTATTTTCATTTATTTCAGACATAACTATTCACATACTTGTATTATATTAAACTGAACTTTCAATATTCACCAATGTTTGGTGCCAAGTACCTTTTTCCTCTGATCACGGAGCAGCCAGCTTGCTTGGACTCACAATGAATCCTGGGATAACCAAGGCTAGATAGGATACACTGGACCCATCCTTCAAATCATGCAAAAAGAAGGATGCATTTGTTGGCCACACTATGACCTAATCGGCGACAAAAAAACAATTTAATTACTTACTTTTTGGTGTTTTTTGATGCATATGATGATCTCACCTTATATAGTTTTTTTGTACATGACTAAAGGGATGCACACCAGTTGAGGTAGTTTAAAGTCTATTTTTCATACAAAACCAAAGGGATAAACGCCAATCTGACGTCTTGCGCATGCGTACTGACTATGGATATGCTGGTCTTACGGGGTAATCTCACCTGACAGAACACTGGGCATAAACTGTGCAATATTTTCAATTGTTGCTCATACTAACCGCATGGTTTCGTCATACAGCATGAGTTCACAGCTCACGATGTATGTTCTCACACTGTGCGGCCCATGTCGGACTCAGCGCTACTCGCACTCGTCTATCCGGAAGCCAAATGAGTAGAAGAGCCATATGAAGCTCACTGGAATGAAACGCACTGCCTTGGCAATTTGTGCAATTTTATGTGCTAAAAGCCCTAAAAAGAAAAGGTGATGATTTATTTGGACAAAAACATGGCTGAGTAAACATGGCTAATACAGTCTGTCAATTACACAGAAAGAACTACACTTCACTTGCACCCCCGCCATGCTTCTGTGTTTTCGTCTGAGAGGAAGAAGAAGATTCCTTGTTTGCGCATGCCCCCTGAGCGATTTGCCCATGACCACCTTATGACGGCCGGCTGAATTTCAAACGTGTTTGATTTTCTTCCGACCTTACGATTCCTGATCGGGAGGTGGTCGTGAGAGACTGATCTCCCCTCGTTACCCCCTGTACACTA